AGAAAGAGAAAGGTGGTGATGCATTAATTAAAGTGGCTATAAATTGAAATTATTCACCAAGGTAATCAATATCCACTTTCTCCACCACCTTTAGTGTGTGACCTTTCATTCCCAAGCCATTATTGATAGGTTAGTGGACTGAAGTTGTAGTATTTCTTGAGTTATTATTGTATGCTTATCTTTATCTATAAATAGGGAGTTGATCTTTAATGAAAAGGCAAGCTAGATTTTGTTAAAAAAATAATTTGTGTGATTTGAGAGCATTTCTCATTTGGTTCTGGATTGGACCATATTTTGATCTTATCAAGAAACCAAGTTTCTTGTGGTGATCCTCATTAAGGCTTATCATCCTTTCTTATTCATAGAAAAAGTGTAGCGCCTCATTTCTATCATTTCCATCAATTTCTTTCTAAATTTTTCATTGTTACATTTCTGTCCCAATTCATATTAGACCTTTGAATTCATGTACTTATTTTATCTTTTAATATTATTTATAATCACAAGTTTCTTAAAAATAACAAAGTATGACTAAAATGGTTGAATCACAAGTCGGTTAGTCATCGGCTTAGAGAGCGTGAGGGTTCTGGTTCAAATGTATTGTATGTTGCTTTTCTTGTTGTTTTGTTGTTACTTATTTTGAATATTCACTCCTTATATAGAGGGGGGGAAAGAGATGTTGAAAGTTGCTTGCATAAGTGTCTTTGCTTAAGAAGTTGTTTTCAAGAGAGAGACGTTGGAGTTGGTACAATGAGGATCTTCATTTTCTGAATAATCTCTTTATCCTTTGCGTCTTTCCCAAGTAAGGTGTCCATATGCATTGAGTGGTATATTAAATAAATCATATCATTTAGCCTTGAACCTTGTTCTAAAATCTCATTTGACTTTCTCCATAACTCAAGTCGTTGACAAGATGGAGGCTGCTTTTGTACATATTACAGACAAAAGAGCTTTGTACTATGTTTCAAGAAGGGCGCTTGAAGTTTCATTTGAATTATTGGAGGCAAAGTCAATGTCGCAACTAAGTTTCTATTTAATCGTCAAAATCTGAGAACATGTGATTATTAAGGTTCTATTAGAAATTAAGATTCTAATCCTTTGGAATCTAAATTCCATGCTTCTTTTTTACAAGTTAATTAACTAGACCAGAACCAAGTTAATAACTAGCTATACTGAAATTGCACACTTAATCAAACATTAGTATACCCTTTTGTTCTTTAAGTACTTTTGTTATCATCAAAACTCAAGGAGTATGAGCATGAACAGAATTTGTTCCAACCGTTTTTTTGTTAAAGGGTATGTTATTGTATGTTGTTGTTATTGTATGTTGTTGTTATTGATTAATGTTCTTAGAACAAGAACAAAACATTTCTATGTCACAAGAAAAAAGCTTCTTGTGACTTAACAATGCTTTGTTTTTGTGATTCTTGCATCATTAATTTCTTATGCAGATTGACAAAAGATCCAGTTGATTTTTTTATATCGTATGTAGATTGTTTGTTTCACTAACCCTTCACTAACAATGAATTCACTTAAATCAATTTAGAACATTATAATATGGAGTTAAGTTATATTTGAAAATCAACTTAGATCAATCAATGTTTTTCGAATTGTATATGTCTCATAAATCATCTCTCGCTCTTTAACATATAGAATATGGTTCAATCACCTAAATCCTTCATGGCATCAATTCTTTCTCTTATAGTTTATTTTGAATAACATCAATTTAATGACTAATTATGACTCATCTCGTCACTATCATCATGATTGTTACGATGATAAGTCATAATTAGTCAACAATTTGATGTTATTTAAAATAAACTAGAAGAGAAGGAATCAATGTTATAAAGGACTTAGGTTATTGAACCATATTATAAATGTTAAAGAGCAAGAAATGAGTTATGACATGCATGTAATTTGAAAAACAGTGGTTTGTTAAGTTGTTTTTCAAGAATAGTTTAATTTTTAGATTATTTTCTTCTTCATCAATTTGAATGGTTGTATTTGTTTAGTGAGGTGTATGGAAAAACAAGTAATCTAAATATTATATAATAAACTCATGGTACTTTCCATAACAGTTATTTATTGTAACTGTGGTGAAATGTTAATTATATTCCAAATAAATTGTTGTTGCTGGATTACAAACTCATGACCTAAATATACATCACAATAGTTGTTTAGTGTAATCGTTGTGATAGGAAGCATTCTACATGATTTATTATCATGTTCGCGCGACCGTGGTGGAAATCACCAGACATACAACCACCCCTTACCTCACAACAGTTGGTCAGATATTGTGGTATCCATTTTCAACAGATGTGGTATGGCTTTTCCGTAGTAGTAAAGGTATCTAACTTTTTCAGACATGGTGTTCTTGCCCACCCCAAAGGTGATTCTAATTGAAATATATCTTTGCACTTGTTCATGCTCGCCCAAGAAATCACCAAGGAGAATTTAAAGGGATACAAATGCTTTGGGTATGGGTGCAATCTCTCAAAGGTGTCACATAAGAGGACGTGAGCTGAGGGGTGAAGGTGAGGAGAACATAAGAAATGAGGGTTGGATCATGTTAACTGTGTATCCTTTTTCTCCTAACAAATACTCTTATCAGATTTTGTATACAGGATCAGAATCTGATTCAGAGTTTGATGAGTAGTAGCGGATAAAAACAGTTAGGAGATAAAGAAGAGAGAAACAGGGACACAAGCAACTATCCTGGTTCCTCCCACAACTCAGGAGTAGTCCATCCTCATTTCCCTTCCAAGGGATTTCCACTATAAATAAATCTGATTACAAATTTCTCAAGCACACAAGCAATAGACTTTCAATGCTCAAACACACTAGTAAGAGACTTCAATGCTCAAGAACATAAGCAAGATACTTCAATGCTCAAGCACACAAGCAAGATATTACTGACTCCATAGAAAATTGTTAAGAGAATGTGATAAACTACACTTGATATACAATTAGAGGCGTAGACTGAATACAACACAAAAAGACTCTAAGACTTAAGAACTTCTTGAGCTTCGACTGGCTTCAGGTTTTTATCCTTCAGAGTCTGATTCTCAACTTTTGATCCTTTTGACTTTGGGCCATCAGAGGTTCACTTTGATCTTTGAAAGTTGACCTGATCAAAGCTAGGATCTTTAGGTTTTGATCATCATAAGATGTCATGTTCAAAGTCTGTAATCTTCAGGTTGTAATCATCAGAAGATGACTTGATCAGAGTCTGCATGACCTGATCAGAATTTGATTCTTCAGAGTCTGATATTCATAATATACATCTTTAGAGCTTCTCTTTAGATGTTTAGTGCAGTATCAAAATTGACTTTACATAAGTATACTAATCTATGTACCTGCACACTTGAACAAACATTAGTATACCCAATTGTTCTTCAAAATACTTTGTTATCTTCAAAACATAGAGATGTGGTACGAACCAATTTTGTTCCAACAATTTCCCCCTTTTTGATGATGAAAAATACAAGTATTTAAGAATAATGGTTGTTGTTTTAATTAACATGTTGACTTCAGGGTCTGAGGTTTGTAAGCTCCCCTTGAGTTTGATAGTCCTAAGGGTGAGGTTTATAAGCTTCCCCTAAGTCCTACCCAGGTTGATTAAATTTCTCTTTAAGGCATAATAACAAATCTCAAAAATTTAATCAATAAAGATTATCAACCAATTAGATTCGTTCAAATGCTTAAATACTTATCCTCCAACTCTCCCTTTTATCATCAACAAAAAGAAGTAAGTAGAATAAGCACAAGAAGAAACGAATCCTCAGATTAAACTATTTGGGATATTATAAACTTGAATAAAAATGATCAAAACCAGTCTTTGCTTCCACTTTTAAATAAATTGAATAATAAGAAAAACAAGTTTCAAAGACTTTGAAAAATGACTAGAATGGATTAGACCAACATCTTCAATTCTCAAGATGGTCAAGTCTCGATTTTGACAACTGGGCAAAGATCAGTAGGGCTTAAAGCCTAGAATATATGTGCATGAAGACCAAGATCAGCTTTATCTCCTGTGTTCATTGGGGCACATAATCCCAGACAAACTGAGTTTTTTTCCCCAACCTCTATATAAGCAGATTTTCAATACCAACAAAAACACTTTCTTCCTTCATTCTAACTCTTCTCTTATCAAGCAATATGGGTAAGACAATGTGTCATACCCCAAAATTTGCCTCTTAATTATATCCTCAAGTGGCTTAAGCTTCTCATTCAGTTGCATATCTCTTCATGAAACATCTTCATTAGGTCATTACCATATCATATATACATTGAATAAATAATTTGAGGTTCGTTGAATCAGTGTACATGTGAAATCAAGGGTCTCATTGGTGTTAGAGTTTCTTTACTTTAAGGGTGAACTCAAGGGTCTCATTGGTGTTAGAGTTTCTTTACTTTAAGGGCTTGTGTTCACCTGAAGTTCTCATGGATCATGGATTGACATATATTTTCATTGTATTTGCAATTACCATTTGGATTAAGGTTTATTTTCCAATACGGTCATCAAATAAATTATCCATGGATTATGTGACCTTTTTTATACTCTTTTTGGTGCAAGATATCTTGAATTTCATGGATTCATCCAAGTGAATGCAAGTTATTAAGGCAAGTTTGGACTATTGTATCATCAATTCAAAGGTTGAAGATTTTGATCAAAACTTTGAATTTTGGTCACAATCAACCACGGAGGGTTGACTTTTAACCATAGTCTTCATGAAGTATTTAACTTTCATCTCATGGTTCTTATTCAAGTTTGCAAATATTGGAAAAAGATTAGAAAAAATATTTTGGAAATTCAAATTGAAGCAATGGAGGGAAAAATACATATTTAAATTCTATCTAGAAAAAAAAAAAGAAACATTACATTTCAAGCCATAGTCCATTACAGTTTCAACCATTACAAATCCAGATACATTCCAAAGAAAAATTACACAAAAATACAGTTTGACCTGAGTTGACTAGAGTCAAACTATCCTAAACCTACACTACAAATTGCATTGCCAAACTCTCATGCACCATGCCCTGCTACAAAACAAAAAGCATAAACCTACGACCAAAACTTACAGCATCAGCGTAATATCTTCAAGGAACAATGCACCATAACCATACCAATGCTTCACATCCACTTTATCTTCATCAAGCAAATCCAAACACCATACCAAGCCCCCGACCTGCATAATTGATTCACATCAGCTCAATACATTATAGACAAAAAAGAAAGAAAACACAATGAAGTTTAATACCAAAAGTCCATATACATACATATACTTCACGCCACAAAATCCAGAACAATAGCCATAAAACATCATGTAATGCTCATTACACCATCCATACCGTTCATAATATTAATCCTAACATTCCCATAACCCACTGTGACTTTGTTCAACTAACAGTTACACTTAACAGCTAACATTTCATAAACTAACCACTAACAATTGATAACTAACCTTCTAAAATATTTTTAACATTCACATTCTACTAACTTTTCTATTTAACTAACAGTTTAACCAAACTAACCATCAAGTGAATAACAAATTTCCAGTTTAGAACTAACTTACTAACTGATCTAAACTGGCCAATTTCCTTTAACCTAACCAACAGTTAACAGATTAGCTTCGTTAACTAACATCTCTTTCAAACTAACAAAATTACACAAGCCCTAACTAATTGAATCTAACTCAACTCAACTAATTTAACTCACGGAGTCAACTAACTGAGTTCATTCCAACTAACTGATAAATCCTCACCCTTGGATCCATTACAAAAATTCTCAATATAACGGCTCATATTCAAGATTCCTCAACTACCTCCACCTTCATCAACTATATAATTTATCCTCCATCTCATTCTTCAGCATGCACCATTCTCAATCATTCACCATCACATTCACATTCATCACTCTCCTTCATCCCTCTGAATTCTCTCAGATTCAGACCACACACCATCTTCGTTCTTCACCCCTCTCTCAACTTCATCTTTTTTAACAATCACCATCACCCTCATTAGATGTTCATCACCCTTCTTCCTCAGAGAGCTTACATTGAAGCTCTACAGGGAGAGAAGCTAGACCTCCATCACTACCTTACCTCACTGCAACTTCACCATCTTCAATCATCAGCATCCTCACGCTCTCTCCGTCTCACTCGTGTACAGAACAACAACAACTCAGAAATACAACAACAGCACAAAGAAACCTAGAAGCACACACAGAGAACGAAAAAGAAGAAGATAAAAAGAAGAGAAACGGAGAGAATCGGAAAAAGAGGGAAGCAAAGAGTAATCACCTGAAAAAGACGTCTCAGGCTTGGCTACTCCATCGTCTTTGAGAAACCACTGGAATTCCTCTAACAGGTAAGTGCTTTAATCCTCGTTCTTCATCACTTCTTTTCCTCTTTTTTATGGTACCACCCTGTTTTACTCATTGAGTAGTCTGAGATTCCTCTCACAATTGGTTGGTTCCATGGACGTACATTATTTAATTGTGATTCTGAGATATTAGGGTTTCAGCTTTCATGCTAGATTTAGGAATTATGTTTGGTTTTCATGACAAATCCAGGCTAGATTTTGAAAGAGGAGGAGAAGGAGAACTTGATGATGGTGATTCGAGCTAATTTGGACCTCCGCCGCCTGAAGCGATTTCCGGTACGAGTCGGAAATCGCGCGCTGGTGAGATGAGAAAACGAGAGAGAGAGAGAGAGAACTGGGTGAAGAAGCTAAAGCATCATCTGTAAAACGCAGTGCTTTATTATTATTATTATTATTATTATTATTATTATTATTATTATTATTATAGTTTAGATTTATTTCTTACCACTTCACCTTGTTCACTGAGTTTGTTTTTAAAGACTTATTTTGTTCCAATAATGTTTTTCAAATGTGGTTTGGGTACCAGATCTCAAACATCATTTATTTGAAACTAATTTATCTCTTCTTGCATAACCACAATCCATTCATCATCTAAAAGTGCTTCATTAATGAAAGTGGGGTCAATCATGGAGATAAGTCCTAGCATAGAGTGTTCTCCCGTGAATGAAGATCTTGTCTTCTTTGGACTATTCTTATTTCCAATGATTAACTCTTATGGATGTGAAGACTTATACTTGAAGGTGCTCTAGGATTTTATTGCTTCTTAATGATCATCAAGAGTTTCTTCATATGCTTCTACTTATGGATGAGCTTCAGATATTGGATTGGTTTTTTAACTAACCGCTTCTAGACATCCAAATGATGATTATTAGCAACTTTTGAGTAGTCTTCAGATACTTGTAACTCTGAAAAACTTTCAACTAGCTCTGACATTTTATTGCCAGAATCTTCGTCATCAAATTTTGTGTATTGACTCTTCAACCATTTTGGTTTCAAAGTTATACACATTGTATGCCTTTTGAGCTTTAGTATCAAATTTCTTTTTATAAACTTTGTTGTTCAAAATGTAACATGTACATCCAAACTGATAAAAATAAGAAATGTTTGGCTTTCTTCTTTTGAAGAGCTCATATGATGTTTTTTTCTTCAAAATAGGTCTAATATAAACTTTGTTCTGAACAAAACATGTTGTGTTAACAGCTTATGTCCACAAGTACTTTGGTAATTTATTTTCATGAATAATGGTTCTAGCCACTTTGATATGGAGTTTTAGAAGAAAATATCTCATGAAGAATTCCAAGTTTATAATTTTTTTTCAAATGGCTCATTTTCAAATTCTCCTTCATGATCATTTCTGATTTTTAAAATCTTTGAATCTTTTTCATTTTGTACTTGTATGCAGAAGATATTGAACACATGTTATGACTTATCTTTGGACATAAGGAATTTAACCAAAGTTAATTTGTTGTAGTCATCAACTATGAATAATCCATATTTTTTTCTCATTGATTGATGTAGTACTAACAGGACCAAACAAATTAATGTGAAGAAGCTCTAAGGGTCTTGAGATAGAGACAATGTTCTTTGATTTAAAATAATTTTTAATGATTTTCTCTACTTGGCATGTCGTACAAAGAGCATCTGAGTGATAATTAATGTCTAGAAAACCATTAACATGTTTTAACTTGACAAGCTTAGAGATTAATCTCTAGTTAGCATGACCTAACCTTCAGTTCCAGAGCTATTTTCATCACTCACTGATAGAAGACAAAGAAATTTTGATCAGCAAATTCAGAAAAATTAGTTTTATAAACATTTCCTTTCGTCTTACCTTTGAACACTATGGAATTATCTGAATCATTAATGACTATAAATATGTTCTTATTAAACAAGACTTCATAACAACAATCACAAAATTGACTTATGCTAAGTAGGTTATGTTTTAGTCTATATACTAACCAAGCATTATTGATGGGGATCGAAAAATTACCAATACTACACATACCAATGATCTTGCATTTACGGTTTCCTCTAAATCCCATATATCCTATCTCTTTCAGAGTTAGGGTTTGGAACATATGCTTTTCTCCTATCATATACCGTGAGCATCCACTGTTCAGTACCAGGACTGCTGCTTTGCTCATCCCTTTAAGCATATCTGCAGCAAAAACAATTTTAGATTTAGGTACCTATAAGGTCTTTTCTGACCTTGTATCTTAGCACTTATGTAGTGAGGCTTGAAACCATTCAAGACTTTTGCTTTAAAAGCTTTAGGTCTTGAGTAGTTCTTAGCCTTTGATTCTGAACCTTTCAGAACTGTAGACTCAGATGTCTTAAGGTATGATTTCTTCAGAGCCTTAAACTTTAGAGTAATATGGGTTCTGGTTTCTCTAGAACTTTAGACTTTGAGGTCTCTGGTTCTGATTTCTCCATAACTTCTGATTCTACAATCTTTAGTTCTGAATGGTTCAGAACCTCTACTTTATCATCAGCAGATACAAAGCAAAAAAAAAATTCCTTTCTAAGTAGAACTAGGAGAAAAGGATTATACTGGTTTTATCCAGGTTTCAGATTCTGGATCAACAAACTGTTCATAATATCCAAGGCATTCTTCTTTGCTTCTACTTATAACCTAAATAATATAATAAAATTAGTCATGTTAAAGCTAGAAATAACAAACTCATAAAGAGCCATTACATACTCACTAAGGGGTTTGTTAGACATATCTTTTATTAAGGCAATACAATTTCTTTTTAATTTTTCAATCTTATTTTTGTAAGATTATAATTCAAATTTTATGAGATTATAATCCCTTTTTAAACTTTTCATATGGTTGGCTTTATCTTGACAATGACCCATAAGGTCTTGAATGAAAGAAATTAAATCTGAATGAGATAGTTTAGAAAATAACTCATCTTCCGCTTCAGAAATTGAGCCAGGACCTGAGTCAAATTCTATGTCTAAAGATGTTTAAGTCATTAGAGCCAGATTGGCTTCTTCTTCATCTTTGTCAGAATCTCCTTCTTTGTCAATTTCATCCCATGTTGTCATGAGAATCTTTTTGACCTTGTTTCAGAATCTTTATTCTAAAAGTTTCCTTTCTTTTGTTACTCCTTTTGTAGCTCTAGAAATTCAGCAATAAAGGGGTCATGCTTTTTGCAGTTTAAGCATCCCATTGTACCCCAAAATTTTCCCTCTCAATTTATCAAGATTTTCCTCATAAGACTCTTTGGACTCCAGACAAGATTAGGGTTTGCTCAACTCAAGACCTCACCTTGCACTAATAGCCTGAAATTAGGGTTTGAGTTTGCACAAGGATTTTTGGACCATCAATGCTTCAGGTGACTTTCACACACCATATTGGACCCCTAATATTGCTCATACCAAGTTTCAAGCCTTGAATCTCATTTTTGCCCAGTCAATTGGACAGTTGACCTAAAAATCAACTATATTGGGGAAAAAGTCAACCACGGCCAATTTACAGTCAAACTTCATAATTTTTGATCCACATCAACATTATAGACTCATATGAAACATTTGATCAAGTTTGGACCACAACTCCTCAAGAAATTTGATCAGATCATCAAAAGGGCAAAATGGTCAAAATTAGGGTTTTGATTGAGAAAGGGAAATTTCTGATTTTTAACCTAGCCAATGACCAATTAGGTTCAAACATTATTTCAAGGGCTTAATGGCATCATCTTGTCCTAATCAAATGGTTCAAAATATCACAAATGCATTGGATTGACAGATGAATTTTGCAGTCAACTGACCAAAAGTCAAATGTACACTGAAAAGTCAAACTTTGACTTTTTGGTCAAAATCAAGTGCCAAAGGTCATAATTCATCAAGATGTGTCAAAATGTGAAACTTGTTGACCAAGAAACCTAATTTTGAAAATTAGGGTTTTAATTTGAAATTTCCCATAACTTAGAATTTTTCTAAGTTATGAAAATTTCTTATTTTTTCCCAACTTTTTCACCATGATGCAATTGGATTCAAAGAAAACTTCCAAAATTAAAGTTGTAGTCCTCCACAAAATCTACAACTTTTATTCACAAAGTTTTACCAAAATATGCTTGGATCTCATGTTATGATTTTGTGGATAGGGGTCCATAAACTTTTTAACTTAGTGAAATTTTGCCCTAGTTTAGGCAGGTTTTTGACCTAACTTCATGGCAACTTTTCACCTAGTTCCAAGAGGTATATCAAGATGCATTTCAAAGATGGATTATAGATCATGTTACAAGATTTCCAAAATGTCCAAGAACTCTCCAAGATCATTTATGGTTAGGGAGAATCGAATAAGAGAAAATGGCATTTTATCACTTTTGTTCAAGGCATTTTCACAATGTTACAAGTTGCAAATTAGTTTCAAACATGCTTGTACTTGGTATTACAGGTCCTAATCCTTTCTACACTCCATAATTTAATGCTAACAAATTGGATATTGGCTTTATTCTGATCTTTGAAGCATTGCACAATGAATTAATCCATTTATGGCATAAAGTTCATAATACCATTTTGATAAAGCTTGCTTTTTCCAACTTTGCAAATCTTGAGCCATGGACCTGATATTTTGTTGCAAACAAGATCCACAAACATCAGGCAAAGTACACCAACCCTATGCAGCTAACAAGCAAGCCTGTAAAGGCCTTTGGCATTGGTTATGTCAACTTTCTTCAAAAGCAAGCAAACTTGCAAAAGTCAAGACAACTTGTGTATCTGTTAAAAGCAAGACTTTGTATCATTGAAAACAACTTCAGAACCTTGTAACAAGCCAATACACGAATTGCTAACATCCCAAACACTCTCAAACACCAAAAACACCAATTTCTACCCAAACAGGGCATCTTCTGTAGAACTCAAGCCAAATCATATTTTGCTCGTGCGTTTTTTATTTCAAGGCTTCAAACACATTCCATACCTCCTACCTAAACTATCCAGGCCTTTGTCTAGCAACTGTAACCCCTGTTTCAAGCTTCACCATTTTCATTTTTTGAGTTTGCAGGTTGACTTCTACAAAGAGTTTCAAGCAACTTCATGGCAAGCTGAGCATTCAGATAGCTTGAGGGAACTTCAAGGAAGCTCACAAGATCTTCAGGCCTCACTCAAAGTTCCCACATTGCCATATCCAAACTCAACTGAACAAGGTATTTTTCAAGTTTCAATCTCTCTATTTAGGCATCTTTAGGTCACGATTTGTGAAGCAAATATGTAGTCCTTAACTTGCTTAAGTTTTACATATGCATGGTTTTTGTTTATATTAACTGAGTAGTGAGAATTTGAAGCTTGAAGTTCATGAAAATTTTAGGTCAGAAATTAGGGGTGATAAAATTCTCCTTAATCTTTGAGTGTTAGATCACAAACTTTATATCACTGGAATCGTGAGATCATGAGCTACATTTTTCATGTTATAAGTTTTTGATTTTATGCAAAGAATAGCAAGAACAGGATTTGAAGGCAGAACGCGCGCGTTTGGTGTTGTCTGGAGGTCAGGGATGAAGCTGGCTGGGCCTGGCACCTTGGGCTTGCTACTTTTCACACCCCCCCATTTTACTTTTGCACCCCCTGACTTATTATTTTTATATTTTTGTATTTTCTTGCATATTTTATATTTTTGACTTTATTATTTTTTTTTTCTGAACATTAAAAAATCCCAAAAATATTTTCTTATTTTTTTGCATTTTATTTTATTTTATTTATCTTATTTTTTGCATATAAAATAGTTTTATTTTAGTTAATGGAAACCATTTTATTAAAATAATTTATAAATAATAAAAGAATACTATCCATTTTTTATTTTTATTATTCACATACATAAAATATTATTTCCACACATATATTTTTTTTAATACTTGTAAATATTATTTTTTTTTTTTGAACAAAATGAATAAAATGAATAATATAGAATATATTTTCTTTAAAACAAAAAATTAGGGTTTTTCACCCTTTCAAAAATAATCACAATATTTTTTCTTATTTTAGACTTAAATAATTTATTTTTC